GTCGGTCTCTTCTCCCAAGTAACAAGCGATAGGACGAGAGGAAATGGCCTCAAGTTGCGCCAGGGGAGGTTTAGATTGGATGTGAGGAAAAATGTCTTTACTGAGTGGTTAAACATTGGAAGAGGCTGCCCAGGGAAGTGGTGGAGTCCCCATCCCTAGAGGTATTTAAAAGACGAGTAGATGAGGCACTTGGGGACATGGTTTAGTGGGCATGGGGGTGTTGGGTCGATGGTTGGACTCGATGATCTTAGAGGTCTCTTCCAACCTCAGTGATTCTATGATTCCTGCCTCCTGAGGCCTTCTCTGTTGAAAGCGTGTGGGGTTTGCTTGTCTCTTGCTCCGGGGAATCGGGACTGTCAGACTGAAGAGGAAGGGAGGAGCCCTCTCAGTCCTTTCCTGGGGGAGCAGGGCACCTGGAGAGCTGCTCTAGCTCCACCGGGCATCTGAGTCTGTAACAAAAGCCAAGCGGGAGCTCTACATGCGCTAGGGCTCTTCACCAGTGAAGATCCACCGGCTGTGACCTCGGGTGGCTGCAGCCCTCGTGGATTAGGTTTCTGTTCCACGGTGTCTGACACCAAACCTGCTTCAATGGACCTGCCTTGGCAAAAGGAGTGAGGGAAATCTGGAGGCAAAACTTGAATTACTGACATAAAACCAAGGCAAACCCCAGATCAACAGCCACTTGCAGCTCCTCCTGTAGCAAACAAATGGTTCCTCATCACAGGAGGAAGGAGTGCTGGGAACTGACAGCTCCTGCACATCCATGACCTAAGCCGTGTTCAGCCACGAACAGCCCGAGGTGGAAGGAGGAGGGCTGTGCGGTCGGAAAGAGTATTGTAGGATGCGACTGGCTCAATCGGTTTAATTAAATTGGTCAAGGTGAAATTTTCCAAGCTGCAGCTGCCCTCTCCTGCCTTTCTCTGCTTAGTCCTGGCTGATCCCTTTCTTCTTCCCCACAGGAATGTGATCCACGGCAGCGACTCGGTTGAGAGTGCCCGGCAGGAGATCTCCCTCTGGTTCCGCCCGGAGGAGCTGACTTGCTGGGAGAACACGGCCGAGCACTGGATCTACGCGTGAGAAGGGCAGCCCGAGGGAAGTATGTCTTCCTGCCTGGGCACGGGGCGTTTCCATCCATTTCATCGCAGCCGCTTGGACTGGCTGTGGATCCTGCTGCGGTGTCGCGTGCTGCGGGGGTTTCTGTTCTGCGTGTGGGTGGAGGGGTCCTGGGAGCCGGTCTGTGTGTGTAACTCTGCGGCTCAGCTCCCTGCAAGAGTAGCCACTTCTTTTCTTTCTCTCTCTGCTATCGTAAGTAGTTGGTGTATTGTTGCTCTGTTCGCTGCAGCATCTTCAATCCCAAGTAGCTCAAGGTGGTTTACTGAAGTGAAAGCTGGGCTCTGTGCCTGTTCCTGTGCGTTCTCAGACCTGCCTGGCGCAGGAGAACGTGTGCTCCTCGCCGCTGGGAGAGGTGCTCCGGTCACTGCAAGGTGATGCGATCGATACCATCTACCTGCATTTCTATAAGGTTCTTCACCAAGGGCTTTTAAATAAGAATTAGGCTGCTATGGGAGAAGGGGGAAAGTTCCCTCCTGGGGGAAGAGCTCGTTCCAAGACAAGGAATGAAGGACAGGACAAAGTGCTCGCTCTCCCTCGGTGGGAGCTCTGCGTGCCAGGGCTGGTGCAAGTTCACCTGGCTTCAGATGTGATTAGCGAGTCCATGGAAGGACGATTCACCAGACGCTGTTAAACGCACAGTGTCTCTGGCTCCGGGTGCTGGGAGCGGCTTCTCCAGGTCTGCTCTGGTTCTCCGCGGGCCTCCGCTGCTGGCTGCACGGCCCCTGGCCTGACCCAGCACGGTCAGTCTCATGCTGTACTTCCACGGCAACTGACGCACGCCAGGGAAGCGGCAGCACTGTGCAAACCACAGGAACAGAAGGGGGAAGAGTGGGGTGGGGAAGGATTTGTAGATTTGGGGCTCAGGAAGGACTAGGAGGACTATTTAGTCCTCTCTCGTGCGCAGTGCAGGCTGTGGAGTCCTGGCACAGAGCTCTGGCAGATCCTGAGATCTTCCTTGTCTGACGGTGGAGCTGTCAGCTCCCTGCCGGGAGGGTTTCGGGAACAGTTGGACAACACCTTGACCCTGCTGTGAGCTCTCCCTGGAACATCAAACTCCTCCGAGCTGTGTTGTGTCCGAGCTCCCTGCGCAGCCTTGCCGGAGCGTAAGGGCAGGGGCAGCGACGTTGCACCCTGCCGCGGAACAGGGGCACGGTTAAACCCAGGGAACAAGGTCCCCCGGGGCTTTCCTGTGTGCAGGCTCAGATGTTTTGCCCGTCTCTCTCCAGCTCCCCAGCTTCATCAGATGTTTTGCCCGTCTCTCTCCAGCTCTCCAGCTCCCCAGCTTCGTAGCTGTGGGGAACGAGTGCGGTTCTCTGGGGGCAGAGAATAAACTCGCCCGCGCTCCCCGCTCCGGGCTGGCCCCGAGGGTGGCGGGGCCGAGCCGGGAAGCGCCAGCAGCGGCCCAGGAACGAGCGCTGAGGGGACGGAGGGTCTCCCTCCGGTGACCGGGGCTTTCCTCCGCTGCCGCAGCCAGAGCTGCTCCTGCCTCCAGGGCCTTCTCCGGGCGGCCGGTGA